GGAGATTGTGTGCGAGAGAGAGAGAGAGAGAATGTGCGTGCGTGTCGTTGCCGCCGCCGCCGCCAGCAGACGATACCGCAAAGGACTTTGGCAAGGGGGGGGGGACAAGCAACCCACCGCGGCCCCGTGGGGACGGCCGGGGACGTGCCGGAGCTCTTTTGGCTGCTCCGCGGTGTTCATGAACTCGGGGGGTCGCTCTGCGCGGGAGGGGGAAGGCGAGCGCGGACTGCGGGAGGGAGCGGAGCGGAGCGGGGACACCCAGCTGCAGGGAGGCCAGGGAACTGTTCCCCCTGCTGCAGACAGTCCGGGCTGCTTCGTGCGCCGGAGAAGACTCCTCTTGGTAAAACCGGTTCTTCTCTCTCTCTCTTCCCTTCTTGCCTGAAAACCCTCCCTCCTCTTCCCATCCCCTCGTTCTCCTTACTGCCCTCTCCCGTGCCTTCCTTTCGATTCTTGCAAAAAAACACCAAAACAAAACCCCAACGACAACAACCACCCCGTTCTGTTTTGTTTCCCCCGTCTCCTCTCCCTTCGTCTGCCCCCTTCCCTGCCTTCTTCCTCCCGGTCTTCCTCAGGCGATCCGACTTTGCTGGGATATAGTTGGGTAAACTGGGGGCTGCCGCCACGGAGAGAGCACAGGAACCCCCCTTGGGCCCGCCGTGTCCCTTCGACGGGGACTTTTGGACTCGGAGACCCCCCCACGCCCCCCAGCGGGGGTGCTTCGCTTGCATCTCCAAGACGCCTCCCGTGCAGCAAGGGTCGCCCGCCCTGGCTCCCTCTTCTGCTGTTTGCCTCATGGAGACCAAGAGCTGCAAAGGGGATAGCCTACGGGCGCCTCTCCAATGCAAACACTCCGTCGAGAAGAAGACGATGACGAATCCCACCACGGTGATCGAGATCTACCCGGACACCACCGAGGTGAACGATTACTATCTGTGGTCCATCTTCAACTTTGTATACCTCAATTTCTGCTGCCTGGGTTTCATCGCCTTGGCTTATTCTCTGAAAGTAAGTACCGACCTCAGCCCTGGATATTTGGGGCCCTTTAACTGGAGCGAGTCTGTCTCTCTCCAGTGAGGCATTGGAGAGATGCGGATTGACACCAGGTCTAAACGAAGAACCCTTCCTTCTTTTACGTGTGTGTGTGTGGGGGGGGATATAGCTTGTGCCTCAAATGTAAATGTTCTTTCATGATCCACATGCATAGGTTGATTTCTGGAATGAGGTCCAGAAAAACCACGAAAATGGGGATGGGGTTAACCTGTGGGCACTCTCATGACCAATGTTCCCTCTAAGCTGTGGAGTCTTGTGAGCAAGAATTCTACTTTGTGAGCTCCTGGCATTAAAGTTGTGAGCCAGCGATTTTGCTGCTGCATAAATTACTTTGCTCTGGAAGAAGAAGAAGAGATTGGATTTATACCCCGCCCTTCACTCGGAGCCATCCCTCCTGAGCTAAGCCAAAAATGTGTGAGCCGGAGACCGAAAAACTGTGAGCTAGCTCACACGAACTCAGCTTAGAGGGAACACTGCTCATGACATGTGGGGGAGGTGTAAATAATATATAATTTTTAAGGAATAAGATGAGAAGCAGCAGTCGTTATAGGTCTGATTTGGGGTCTGGTTCTATTGGATAGTTGTGATTAGCTCTTTCTAATTTCATTACCGACAGGATAGGCAAATGAACTTTACATTGACTAGATAAATAACCTGTCATGGAGCGGGGGGGGGGGGGGGAAAAAAA